GATTCTGTGATTCCTGAGCCAGTGGTTTCATGTACTTCAGGCCACAGGCTTGAACACCTGAGTTTTGCTGAGCAGACCATCACTCGTGTCTTCGGAGAGTGCTCATAACTCCTCCTTTTGCTTCTCTTCGCCATCTGGAGCTCCTCAAGGCTCTGAGTTGACACAACCTGCTGTGGGGTCAGACTCCTGCAGCTGCCTTCCCCCCTCCAGTGCCCCAAAAAAGCTCCAGGCCGGGGAGTGCAGCCATACAAAGGTGTTGGTTTGTGGGGAGGCACAGCCCCAGGGCCAGGGAGCAGGAACCGTGAAGGTGCCAAGCTGTTCTGTGATTGCAGATTGTTGAAACTTTATTTTCTTTTATTTTTTATTTTTATTTTTACGTAAACTGGTTAGGTCATGTCTTGTCTAGCCTTGATGAGATGTGATGGAGATGACCAAGAAGATTGCTTCATTCCCCAGCATAAGTCTTTGTTGAATAATTCATTTTCTTCCCTACCTGGACTGCATTAATAGTGTATTACTACAGTACATTAACGTGGTGTGGAAAATCAGGTTGTGCTGCTGTACAGTCCCAGATTAGGCCTCAGTTCTGTGCTGTTATGCTTTTTAATGGAGAGAATATTTTAAAATGTGTTTTCACAGTCTTAATAAATACAAAACTAGAAGAATTACAGTGGAATTGTATTTACAGAAAGTCATTGCTGTTTAACGCTTACCCAGACCCTTACATAGCTTTTAGAAGTTATTTTAAAATTTGGAACTGTTTTAATAAATCCCATTTTACAGCTTGAAAAACTAATGCGTATTTTTTTACAGGACCGGTATGAGGTAAGTTGTTCACACGAGGGTGCATCAAGCCATGGTATGAGTGCTGGCACGATGCGTTTTTCACTGCTCCACATTGCTTCCCTGAAAACAGACAATATTGTCTAAGTCATAATTTAGGGATGAATCCTTGACCTATAGGCTGTGACAGAGAAATTCATGTTACGATGGTAGAAAAATGGTAAACTTTTAAAAATGATTTCCCCAGCTTCCTTCTGAACATTTGTGGCTGTAAATTAAAATGGAGGGAAAAAGACAGCTGAAAGCATACACATTTTCCAGTACTGACGATGACTGTGCTGGTTCCTAAATCTGAAATGAATCCAGTGTGGGGAATGTGTGTGTACCCCCATATCGCAAATACTCAGCAACACGTCCAACCTCCTGGATGAATGTGGTTGTAAAGCTCTGCAGGACAACTGTTAAGTGTTACTGCACTGGGGAGGTGGAGTTGTGATTGGTTTGGAGCAAACATCCGCCTAATTAAAATGTTGTCTTTTCTGTAGGTGAGAACGCAGGGGACGGGGAGTTGGATCTGAGTGGGATTGACGACAGCGAAATAGATCGGGTAAGGTGCCCTCATAGCCTGGCTCTGCATCTGGGTATCTGGGGATGGCAAATGGTCCTTATCTGGTCTGTCCTCTCCCCTCTCTGCCTCTTTGCTCTGATACGTAGAGAGGTTCAAGGGATGTCAGTGGTCTGAGATCAAAACTAGGCCTGTGAATTTGGTGTTCCTTGCCCATTTGAGATATCTATTGGACTGCTGCTGCTGCTCACCCTTACCATGCTGAAATACATGTTTTAGAATGCCTTTCATTCTAGAGGAAAACTTCTGAAAGTTTGGTGGAGCTCTAAGTTAATTATTTAATTAAGATACATTCAACATAGGAGGCTGCCCTGGAAACCAAACTGTAAAACCAGCATGTACAGCTTCTGCATTCTTTCAGAGGTTTCTTCTTCTTCTTCTTCTACTTCTTCTTCTTCCTCTTCTTCTTCGGTAAAGACACCTTTTACCACATAGCCTGACTATGTCAGGCAGATGGCTGTGGAAAAGAAGGCCACATTTAAAGTCTAATTTGAACAGATCACGCCAGTGCTAAAAACTCCTTTTGGGGTACAAAATCGTTCCGAGCAGTGAGGGTGCGCAGGGGTTCCTGCTCTGCAGGATTGCTGTTGGCAAAGCATGAAGAAGCAGGAAGATGCTGGGCTTGACTTCAGCTGTAAAGCAGGTTTTGCTAGGCTGGGTGTTAGGAAGGGTCTTGTGAATGGAGCGGCTGCAGTGTGGAGGGAGCGGGGAGGCTGAAGGTTTTCCATATAGCAGGTCCATAATTTAAGCAAATGCAGGTGAAGAACAAGCACATTTTCTCCTCCTCCCAGGCTCTGTGATGAGGTCATAACTCTGCTTTTATGACTTCATGTTCATTGCCATGGCAATAGACTGTGATATTGTAAGCCCAAGATTATGAACTCTCTAAAAGCATAGGAAGGATGAATAACTGAGCTAGGAGGAAGCGAGCTTTACTGTTATGGCCCACTCTTAATAGAAGCAGATGAAAGAATGAAAATACTGGTCTGATAAACCAGGACTTGTACAGCTGTTTGCTTGTCTCGTTTGCCTTCGGCGGAAGGGCTCCTTCCTGCAGTAGTTTCATTTGACTGGAGTTATTTTTCTCATAAACTCCTATATATACATTTTATTTCAGAGAAAATCTCGAATGCTCAAACCCGTAAGATGAAGAAATCTCAGATAGTTTTCCTTGCACTTTAACATTGTTTTACAAGTCGTGGGTCCACTGCTTAAAAATGAAGTGTCTTGTTCGTGAAGGGTGACCTAATTTGTCGTCTTCATTCTGCAGCTCTTTGCTCCCGAACAGCATCAACTGTAGAGAGCTTTTGTTTCACGAACAGTTGTGCTTAATACTGGGTTTATTTTTACATTTAAGTGATTGGAGATCGATCTACCAAGCCTGCCTGCTGCCTACCTGTTTATTTCTGTAATTCATCTGAATACTGTGCATGTGTTTTACAGCTCCACACCTGCTAATGATGTTACCAAGACTAAGTGGAGTTAACTGAAGAACGCCTAGATGCGGGTACTGAACCCAGCTCTAACATCTAGAGGACTCAATCTCCAGCAATCCAAGCTGGTTTCAGTCACACGTGTGGCCGTCGAGCTAATAATCTCAGTAACTGTGCCTAAACCTTTGCAGAAACCTACCCAGAAGACACCTGTTTCTGTTTTGGTAGCGCAGGGCAATGGTTCCCATCCTGTTCTGAATCACAGACCACCATCGACATGCAGAATTGCTTGCAGACGGCCGTGTTGTCATGATACCCTCTCATGGCGTCTGAAAAAAGATCGTCAACCCAGGATCATTTTAGGTTAATTACAGACCACGCACAATGAGTCCTGGATGGTTTTTGGCCACCCCATCATATCTTGGAAACCAAGCGCTGTTTTTTGAAGACAGGTCGTTGTTTTTTGCCAGCTTTAGAAGTTACTAGGAATCCTCTCTGCTTGTCATATATCTCGGTCATATTTTCTTTCGTTAATGTATTTTTAAAAACAGGATGTGGATTGACCTTGCCAGTGGTTTTTCAATTCAGTTTTGCTCTATGGTTTTCAAGTTGATTTCTGAAAGTAGATAAACCTTTTGTCTTTTTTTATATGTGTTTTGTCTTTTAGTATATACTTAACGAAACAGAAGCTCAGATAAAAGCGGAGCTGTGGATGAAAGAAAATGCAGATTATTTGAAGGAACAAAAAGGTAGGTTTACAGGACTGAACGTCTCCTTTTGGCCAGTGTTGCTGAAATAGGCAGTCTGTGCAGTCTTCATGCTGGTTACCCTTTTGTCTTCTTTCAGAAAAGGAAGCAAGGATAGCAAAAGAGAAAGAACTTGGGATTTATAAGGAACACAAGGTATTAAACTGTGTGCTAATTGTGTCTGTTTGAAAATGTCTTGGAAATCTGTTACATTTGCTGATCGGCTCCATGTGGGATGTGTGGGTTAACGGTCTGGGTCACCGCTAAGTGAGCAAAAGCTGTTGTGTCTCTACCTGTTCTTGAAATACAAGGTTATAATTTTTCAGGTGGTGAGTAAAACTCTTGCCCAAACTTCTATTTTAAATGACTGCTATGAGAAAATTCTGTGCATGGCAAAGTCAGAGCTGGCTCTTTGCATTTACGATTGCTGTCCTAATTGCTTGCTTATTGAAGTACAGGTCTTAAAACATGCCTAATTTTTTTGTTTTAATGTGTGCATGGGAAATTTGTTTGTACTTGCCATAACTTCAGTAGCTTTCTTTGCTCTTACCATAATGATTTCTTTATGAGGAACTGAACAGGTCCTTGTTACGGTCACTTGAAGGAATATTTTGTTCTACCTTCCATAAAGAATGCAACAGTTATGTTAACAAATGGCACGTCCTGTCTCCATGTTTAGCAGTTTAAAGCAGCCTAATTGGCCATATATTCACAGTTTACAGCATTAGTATTTTGTGTAATTGAGCAAGTGACAAGTCAAATCTTCCACATGCAACTAAAATCCACGTTAGTTTTTAGTGCATATATCCTCTATCTTTTTTCCCGACTAATGCAAAACACAGAGTTTCCTCCTTCCCCGAGGTATTTCAGCAGTAAAAACAAAACCAGACAATGAAACACTGTTTTATGCTTCAGAGTTTCTCAGTTATCCTGCGCTCACGGAGACGTGGCAGTCTACCAGTAATTTTCAAAATTGTATAACTCGTTGGCACCGCCAAGTAGCCCAGACACCCACCTTTTTGTCCGGACAACACAGGAGTTTTTCTTTAACTCTGTATTGTTTCTGACAGCTCGAGTAGAACTTGATTAATATAGTGCTTTCCAATTTCAAGGTAGCACTTGACCCATGTAGGTAAACAGAGGGGCTATTATCCGTTAAAAAATAAATCTCCTGCAGAGCTTGGTGTTAAAACCTTCCTTTGGAAAGGAAACTGCCGAATGAGAAACAGAGGTTGGGGGTTTTTTTTCCATACCTACCCAGGCATGGGACATGGCTGGAAATGTTCCCCGGTGTCATTTCTCTTTGGCTCTGCGCAGCATCAGCCTCCTGCTTCCTCTCCAGCGGCGTTAATGCCAGTCCACGCTGAGGATGCTGCTGCTGACATTCTTGGCCTTTCTCAGTGTGAACGAGGAGTTGGGTAGGTGCTCTCCCACGCCTCATTCAGACTTGATGTAAAATACCATTGTGGTTTGATACGGAGTTGTCAGTGCTTAGCGAAGTCGTGACCCAGTTTGTGCCTATCTTTAAAGGCAATTTTAGCAGAGGAAGTTCTTTATTTCCATGCTGGGTGACGCCATCAGGGTCCCTGCTCCCGTAACAGAAGTTCACTCCATTTTTTTTTTTAAATGAGTGAGAAATGGCCCACGATTCCTTTTGGCAGCATTACAAATAGTAAGTAAAGAATTCGTAATAAACTGTGTGGGCATTTGGCACCAAGCAAGCAGGCGTTATCTCAGAGAAAAGAGACCTCTGGGTCCCGTTGCGCGGCAGGAGAGGGAGCGCTGGCTTAGCCCAGCCGCGTCGCCTGCATCCCTGCATCAGCAGCACCTGAGCTGCAGCTCGCCCTTCTGCTTCACGGAAACTTTGTTTGTATCTACATCACTAATTTTATATTTTAATTAAGCCAAAGAAATCTGCAAAGAAGCGGGAGCCAATTCAAGCCAGCACAGCAGGAGAGGCAATTGAAAAGATGTTAGAACAGAAGAAAATCTCAAGTAAAATTAATTATAATGTGCTAAGGGACCTGAACAGCAAAGGAAGTGACACACCAAAGAAAGAGGATGACAGCACTGATGACAGCACCAACACCAAGAAGCTGTCAAGAAGGAAATCTATTGCCAGTAGGAATATAGCCAACCCTGTAAACAGTGTGGGAAAAAGGTACCGCAATTGTTCATTTCTATCTCTGTCTGTGAGACTGTCTATGTATCTTTCTGAGCCCGACAGTGCAGGGACTGAAACGTTTGTTTAAGGCTAAAATAACGTTGGGGCTCTGCTTTTATTTATTTTGCCTGCAGTGTCGCGGCAGCACCTTATTTATAGCTGGTGCATCAGAGGTCTGCTTCGGTGCGAGTTTATCATCCTGAAGCCAGAAATAAAATCCGGTGGCAATTCATAAACGTGAATCTTTCAGCGGGGACACCTTTTCTTCATACGCTCCTGACATTTGCCGTCCTTCCTTTCCGAGTTGCCTGTGTCAGCTGACACCACGCGAAACGTTCGAAAGCTTTGGCTTTTTGCTTGATTTGAAAAACATAGTTCCCATCTGTTTTGACAGCTAGCTGTTTGGATTAGCTTTTATTTCAGTCTTATTCCAAACTTTTGTTGTTAATTGATGACACAAGCATAAAGCTTTACAGTAAATACGCTTGTCGGTTTTCTGGTCTGCATTTGCAAATGTTTTATAGTGTGATGAAAGGTACTATTTTAATGAGTAAGAGACTCGACTTGCCAGGCAGATTTGTACTGTGCTGTAAAGTGTAAAAGGAGATTGATGTGTCCTATCTGCAACGTTCAACTATTTTATTCATCCTCGGTTTATGAAATCATGTCAGATGATCATTTGAATCGTGTCTGTGTATAGCAATTTCTTACTTGGATGTCATTTACATATTTATTTATTTACTGCCTAAAAGACACAGTTGTTTTGCTTCCAGAAGCACAGGCCGAGCGAGTGCAGGCCATAAGGATATTTAGGTTTTTAGTTCTGAAGTGTCAGATGGTGGTGTTGCACTGCAGTTCGGGTTTTGGTGTGTGTTGCAATCAGGCAAAGGACCAGGGGTGCCGGGAGGGCAGCCAGGCACAAGGTACAAGAAATCGTTCATTCGTGCAAGAACGGGAGACCCAGAGTACCTGAAAACGTGAGGCTGGCAGGGATAGCACGTGCACATCCCTCACAAACTGAACAGAATCAGGATGACTGCACCCACCCCCTTATTTTGACTTCATTTGACAGCAGGGACAGCAGTGCCAAGGCTCGGCTTTGGCGTTTGGCTTCTCATCCAAAATTGGAGACCACGCTGCTGGTCCCACTGTCACTGGGACGCAGGTTTTCCCAATGGACCAAACGTATTTTCTTTCTCTGCTGTACCTTCTTTATTCAGTATTTTACCGAGATAGCTTTGTCCTCGTCCAACTTCTCACCCTTAATAGCAACAGCTTTGCTTTCCAGTTCTTGACTCACCGTGGATTTTAGCCTCCTCTGTAAGTTGTTACTTAAGGTGATGTCTAATGACCCAAGCACATGTTTTCCACTAGTGAAGGAAAGTGAAGATGTATTGAGGATCAACTAACAGCATTTAGCCTCTGCTTTATTTGGATTTAACAGGCATTAATGAGTCATCTTTCTGATATTTCTAGTAAAATAGAGCTGGTTCAGTTGTCTGAAAGGAAGTGCTGTGATGGGAAGCAGGGGCAGTCAGGATCCCGGTTGCACTTCAGAGCTCAGCAGTAGCATCCACGCTCAAGCTGCTTCGCCATGGACCAACCTTGTCACTCCTGAGGTTTGCAGAGATGCTGGGTACTTGGAGCTCCTGTTGAAATCAGCATGAGAAACTCTTGACAGGTGCTAAACTCCTTGGAAGATCATGCCATAAATATTTAATTTAACAGTGGTGCAACTTGAAAAGGTTTCTAAATAAATACAAATCAGTATTTTCCAAAAGCAGCTAATAAAACATGTTTATTTTTCCTCTTGAGAGCCTAAAGTGCGTCCTTAAGATGCATAACAGAGTTTCCTGATGATGATTAGCAGATCTCGGATACAATGAATTTTGCAGCAGAGCACTTCAGAGGAGGTGGGGGTTACGTGCAGATACACGAGTTGAGAAGGTTTCGCACTCCAGAAGCTGGCAGTGTCCTTGCTTAACTAATACCAGGGACTTGGCAAACCATTAGTTGGACTTTTTTTTTTTCCCCTTACAATTAAAGATTTATAATACACTTTTGGGTTTTTTTGCTAGTAGTCTAAATGCCATGCCTTTTAAATCGCATGCATAAATTTCTGTTTTCTGCATTGTTCTCGTGTGCTGTGCGCTCGTTGCCTTTGTTCAACATCGTTCCTCTTGAGAGGTGAATGGCTAAATACTTCCCCAGCGATACAAAAATCATGGTAATTTATATGCAATTAATAATAATAAAACCCCTGAACATTGCTCATTAGAAAATGAATGAAGCGCATAATGTGTCTTTATCCAGGAGGCATTGCAGAGACCTTGCTTTGGTCTGCAGTGATTTACTGTCCTGCCTGCTTGGCTTTCTATATCTTAAATATTTAAGAAGCTCCATTTGACTGCAGTAGCACCTTGCATAGCCATGTTTTGACCTGGTCCCTCAGTTCATCTGTGTTATAGTCAGACTTTAAAGAGCTACTGATTTAGTCCTGATCTCAATTAATTAGAAGGTAGGAAAGTAGATTTTTTACTAAAGAAATATCTCTATTGCTTTCCGTTTGCAAGCCAGGATTTTCCATGCCTCACCAGACTGGGGCAGATGCTGAAGCCAAGTTTGTCGCGTGTTTCAGGAATCATCTTCACGTGCAGTGTGCAGCACCTTGGAAGTAGGAAGTTGAGCTTCATCCCTTGCTGTGAAATGCCCTGCGCCGTTATTTCCAGACAGCTTATCTCCAAAAAAGTGGTCAACCCAGCCAGACGTGGTGTGATCTCTGGGTGTTTTTTCTCTTTGTAGTATGACATGAACTAGCAGTGGCCGTGTTAGTCTGTTAAAGTATTGGAAAAGCTTTTGTGTACTGATGTGATGATGATGAGCAAATTTTACACTCTTGTAAAAAGTTGCTGATTTGCGAGAAGTTTATAAAGAGCCGGAACGCTGAGCATGGTCCCAGGAGCGTGATTGAACTGGACGTTCTTTTCGTTGGTGGCCCTTTTAGTATAGCTTTGGTACTGCTATAATCACGGAATGGTTACTTGGATTCCAGAGGTGATACAGTTTATCTACATAGTATTTCATTAAAAAATCCTAATTCTGAAATCTTGGAAATGTTTGGTATTTTCTGAAATTTTGTTAGGAGGGTGCTTTCAAAGAGTTCTTCCAAAAAGGATGCAGATTCCTCCTTTTTATATACGTCGGCATTTTCAGAAGCAAACTGGATTTTCAAGCAGAGGATTCAGACTCCTCCTTTTTATATACATCAGCATTTTCAGAAGCAAACTGGATTTTCAAGCAGCTTTCTTCATCGTGAATGCTGTGCAGCTTTTAGAGTTTTAAGAAAAAGTCGTGCTTTTCTCCGACACATTTCCCAGAATTATACTGGAGTTTTACTTATTGTATCTGTCAAGATGGTAGAAGACTGGTAATGACAATGTAAGTAGTTTTAGGAAATTTTATGTTGTGTAAATGTGTTTCATTTCTTCTCTTAATGCGTTTTTGTTCCAGTGAGAGTCACGATTGGTGCTTCGTACGCAGAAGCCGTTTCATTCTCTGCGTGTTCGAGATGCGGCGCAGTGGATGTTACTGTAATAGATGCTGCAACTTTAATTTCAATTACCAGTTGCACAGTTTATCTTCACAATGTCTTCTGCCTGTATGAAGCATAAGAATAATATGGTGAACTCCTAGAAAAGAACAATTGCCACTCGGAGCTGCTTAAAACCTGAGATCCTCTTGGAGCTGTGTCGGGCGCTGGAGCTCTTCTCGTCCAGCCAAGTGGGGTTTTAGGTCTGGAAACTTTTGGTTAGAAGCTTAATAATTTATTTTGTGTTTGCTTGAGCTGAATCTTACGGCATTACTTGTGAAGTGAAATGTGTTGTACCAAGAAAATGTGGCAACAAGAAAGCTTTCAAGTCACTACTTTTTGAAAATTTTAAGCCTGTTTATTGCTGTGTGCTTGAAATTGGTAACGATATCAGAAAAGACAGGATATATCACCGGGGGAATAAATGTGTCAGGTTAATCTCCTGAAGAATTTGCCTAGGAAGAAATGAAGCAGGACTGCGAAGCACAGCTGAACCCGCTGTAATGAAACAAGGTTGTTCTGAATGGAAGCATATGAATATATAATAGAAAACCAAATCATGCCTGCTACGAGTATGACAAAAGCCTTGGCAGAGATCTCAGGTTTGATTGGATTTGGAAATTAACCTCCACATTCTCCGCATGGTCTCACTTGTGTTTGTAGACCATTCGTTTTGCTCGTACACGTTGGCACGTGGCTCCACCGGTGCTTTGGAGGAGTGCACCCACGGGATGTGGGTGCTGCGAGCCGTGAACCCGCGGTACCAGGGACTTGTGCTGCTGCTCGAGTCCCTGCCCTGGGATGCACGCTTTCCATTAGCATCTGCTCTGGCTGCAGTTTTGTTGGCTTGTCAGTGGGTGTCATGACCCCAGAAAAATCCCTTTCTTGTCTAAGGAGAACGTATGGAATACTTCCCTACAGCCTAGCGTTCGGCATCTCATTTAACCCGATAAATGACTTGGTACCTTCTTGGCTCTAATTGGAATCGCATCCCCCCAGGGGAGTAAAACATAGGCAGAAGCCTGATTTGGGTGCTTTGCAGGAGCCTGATGATCCCACGCAGCAGAGGGAGCCTGGGGACACAGAGTGCCCTGCAGTGAGGCCACGGGGGCACTGCCCCCAGCTCCCCCCAGCTCCCACCCACATTTACAGTTGGCCCTTCCTGGCATCCAGAAGGGGAGTATTACTCTGTAAAACAGAAATCTGTTTGGATTTCGTTGGCTTTGCCAGATTATTTTTGGTGAAGTTGTGGGTGGGTGGGTAGGTAAGCCCTGCATTTTGTAGTTCTATGGTGTAGGTGGGTGAAGCGCTGTGCTGAGTGCTGTGTCGCGTCCTGGCTGGCTGCTCCTGCCTCTGGTTGTCCTGAACGCTTGTTCCACGTTGGTCATGGCTTATCATTTACTTTCAT